GCTTGCCAAAAGGGCTCTCGGGCGTTGGAAGGGGCAGTGGGGAAGTCCAGGGATTTGAGTCGGGCAGACCCAGCACTCAGGGATGTGGTTTAGTCGAGGACTTGTCAGTGTTGGGTTAGTGGTTGGACTTGATGAGCTTTTCCAAGCTGGGCAGTTCTCTGATCTTGTCATTGAGGAGTCTCTCCCCGCTTCCTCAGCGACCGGAGCGCGGTGCTGTGGCAGCTCTGCTCCTTTGGAGGAAAACGCGAGTGGCCGAGGCACCCGGCTGTGGAACGTTCCGTGTCGTTCTCAAAGCATCTTTTCAGTTCCAGGGAGGCGTGTGGTCCCTCAGCACGGCGCTGTGCGATGCCCTGATGACCATGGACGTGATGCTGTGCACGGCCTCCATCTTCAACCTCTGTGCTATCAGCGTGGATCGGTAAGTGCCTTCCTCCCCCTCCTCCTGCGGGAGCCGTGCCGCGGCATCAGGCCGCTCCCATGCGCCACCCCGCTGGGGCTGACCCCCCTGTGTCGGCAGGTTTATCGCCGTTTCCATCCCCCTGAACTACAACCGGCGCCAAATCGACCTGCGGCAGCTGATCCTTATATCCACCACCTGGATATTCGCCTTTGCCGTAGCATCCCCGGTCATATTTGGCCTCAACAACGTTCCGAACCGGGACCCCAGCTTGTGTCAGCTGGAGGATGACAACTACATCGTGTACTCTTCCATCTGCTCCTTCTTCATCCCTTGCCCCGTCATGCTGGTGCTCTACTGCGCCATGTTCCAAGGACTCAAGCGCTGGGAAGAAGCCAGGAAGGCCAAGCTGAGGGGCAGCATCTACGGGGCCAACAGGAACCTGTACCACCCCTCAACCTTCCTCGGGAGGGAGCAGACCGGCCTGGAGCCGGAGAAGTGCAACCCTTACGCCCGCTCTGACCACCCTGGGGACTATGTGATGAGCAACGGGATCCAGACTGTCTCCTACCCGCACCTCAAGTACCCGCACGCGGGACACAGTCGGAAGCGGGCCAAGATCAACGGGCGGGAGCAGAAAGCCATGCGGGTGCTGCCTGTCGTTGTCGGTGAGTGGCGGGGGGCGATGGTTGGGAAGGGGTGGGAGCGTCCCGCGGGGTCCCACAGCAGGGCTCAGCCTGGCAGGTCGTGTTGGAACCCGGCAAAGCCAACACACGCTTTGCTCACTCCCCTCCCAGGAGACAAACTGCCCCGGCACGGGTGCTCGGGTGGTGGTGGGAGCTGTCACGCGTTCTCCTTGCTGGAGCAATTATGGAATAGATTCACAGAGTCAATCACAGAATCATGAAGGTTGGAAAAGACCTCGAAGGTCATCAAGTCCCACCGTCAACCCAACACCACCGTGACCACTGAACTGTGTCCCCAAGGGCCACGTCTCCACGTGTTTTGAACATCCCCAGGGATGGTGACTCCACCACTGCCCTGGGCAGCCTCTTCCAACAGTTCCCCACTCCTTCACTAAAGAAATTTTTCCCAATATCCAATCTAAACCTCCCCTGGGCAACTTGAGGCCCTTTCCTCTCGTCATTAGTAACCTGGGAGAAGAGACCAACCCTCTCCTCACTGCACCCTCCTGTCAGGCAGTTGTAGAGCTTGATGAGGTCTCCTCCGAGCCTCCTCTTCCCCAGACTAAATAGGAGTCAAGGGCGAGGTACAATCCACCTCCCCAGTGCTCCCTCTCCCTCCCTCACTTTAACACTCACCTCCCCTTGCTCCTGTGGAAGGGCCTGGCTGTGACTTAAACTGTACCTCAAAGGTGACTCCAAAACTAACACGTGACTTTTCACCAACGCTTAGGACAAGAGCAACATCCTAAATACTCGGTCTGGGCACAATTTTTTGGAGACAAATTTTTTGCCCACGCTGCTTTCCCCCTCAGCACTCTGAGCCGGGCTTTGTTTGTTTAATTACCCCCTTTTTAACATTCACATCGCTTTCTCTCTTCCACGTCCCTCCGGCAGGTGCTTTCCTCTTCTGCTGGACACCTTTTTTTGTGGTGCACATCACCAGGGCCCTCTGCAAGTCCTGCGCCATCCCCACGCAAGTCACCAGCACCGTCACTTGGCTGGGTTACGTCAACAGCGCGCTCAACCCCATCATTTACACCGTCTTCAACGCCGAGTTCAGGAACTTCTTCCGCAAAGTTTTGCACCTCTTCTGCTGAGCCCACTGGAAATGGGGGTAGAAAAGGAACAACCAGGCTTTTTTGTTTTTTTTTTTTTTTTTGTATAGTTCATTAAAGATCTATTTCTGCCTAAGGGCTGCTGTCTTTGTGGGGGAGGAGGGAAGGAGGAGCGATGGCAGCTGGAGGAGGCAGGTTCCCAGCGCTGTGTAATGGAGGAGTTAGCGGTGAGTAGCCGTGGATACAGCTTGTGGCCACTTCTCTAACACTTGGTGCTTGACATAAGTGGCAAGAGATGCCACAAGACAGCAGGGATAGGTCTGGGAACGGCTCTTGCTTTGGATCACCAAATCATTTGGGTTGGAAAAGACCTTTCCCAGTGCACGAGAAAAACAAGCACCGCTCAGCCCTCCCTGCTCGCAGCCACCTCACGCGTTAACCCGCTCACCGAGCGGCCTCCCCGCCACGCTAACTCCCCACTTGGGAAGGGTGACGGGTCACGCCGAGGCCGCTGGGGCACGGAACCCGCCAGGCCAGCAAGGATCCGTCCTAAGGTCCTTGTGAGAGCGCATGCCGAGCAGTAATTTTAGATTTAGCCATCCAAAGGCACACAGCTGTTATTGCTAATTTTCCAGAACTCCTTACCGAGCCGCACGATACCCACCGGGAAAAAAATCCTTTATGCCTTTTGGTAGACCTGGGCGCAGCGACACCACGGGAGCGCTCCTCTCCGCAGCTAAGGAGGGGAGAAAATGATTATTGCACAAAAGAGCCACCTTCTGAGGAATACTTTTTGGTATATAACTATTCTGAGGAATAATTTTTGGTTGCTTTCCGAGGGATAATTTGTTTGCTCAGAAACAAAAGGAAAAAATGACTGCAGGGAGGCCTGAAGCTTCTCTTTGCCCAAGAATACCGATTGCTCGATCAAGTTAGCATCGACAGATGAATGTATTAAATTCCCACAGTGATTTTATCGTTCAGGTTTGAGTTCTGCCATTTGCCCCAGGCCCTGGGGACAAATGGGCAAAACCCTGCAAACGAGCGCTGTTACTGCAGGTTCAATTAACAAATCGTCTTCCAGCTTTAGCAAACAAGCAATAAGGCAACAGTGGGAGAAGAAACTGTTGCAAATACCGCAGCGTTGCTCTGAGAGGCAGGAGCAGCGAGAGTTTTGCGAAGGGAATCAAAGGAATTGCCTGTTTCCCCCTTCCCAGGAGTAATTTGTGTTCCCATCCCGCTCCAGCGGCTGGAGCTGCTGCAAAAACCCCGGCAAAA